ATTGAGCGATGGAAAGAATGGCAGCATCTGTCTATGATCTGATCGAGTGGAATGGGGGCAGTGGCCGATGATCGATTTTTGCTCGCGCCGGGGACGTCGCGACTTGCGCCGATAGTGCTGTGGGGAGTGGGGTTGTACGTATGATAGGGGAGCCAGTTAAGGGGAATTGGCTATAGTGAACGAACGGGGACGGCTTTGGGATTGGATCATAGTTGGGGATGGCGGCGGGAATAGGAGCTGAGGAAGTGTGGGAGTGAGGGAGAGTGGGAGTGGGTAGTGTACGCGGGTAGCTGCTGGGCTAGTTGGCAATGGATCATAGTTGGTCTGGGCAGCGGGAATAGAAACTTGGCATGAGAAATGGACACGAACCCAGCCAGCTCGTGAAAGTGGCCAGAGTGGTTATTCTGGAGACAACAACTCATGAACTGTCACACCATCGCACTATAAATACCACTCGCTTCGTTTGTAATGATGGGTTTGGATCGTGAGTGACTGAAGTGTCTTCCCCGCGCGTGGCCATCGTGAATGCCTCCCGTACCCACGGGGTCGCCGCAGCCCAAAGGCTCATTGCGCAATTGAGCCGCCCAAAGGCCGACAGGTGCTCCCAAGTGCGTCATGCAATTCCTGGCGTTCTTGCCACCACACATCGCTGCCGCCTTGTGGGGAGGCGCTGGTGGTGCCCACCATCGGTGGCAAGCACAAGGACGGACGCGGGAGGCACGTGGAGGCGGATGCAAGTGCTGTGAGGCGACGCAGCCTCACCAGTTGTGTGAAATCGGCGTTCAAAGCGCCAATTGAGAGGTATCGAAGAGGTGCCAAAAAAGGGTGAGATCTGGGCGGCCAGGCGCTTGCTGACCCGAACGGTCAACAAAGGGGAGGGGGCGGGGGAGGGAAGGGCAGAATGTGCCAAGGGAAAGGGAGGGGAGATGGCAATAGCCCCCTTGCTCGCTAGAATCGCTGCGGGGGGCTAACGATCTGCCCCGTCGATTCTCGAATTAGGCTTGATGGAGCTGGGGGAAGCTGGGCGGTCACAAAAGGGAGGCCGGGGAGGGCAGGTAACGTGGCCAAAATAGGGGGAGGGGAGACGGCCAAAGGCTACTCGCTTGTTAGAATCGTCCCTAGAATCGCAAGTGAATCTGGCGTTGTGGTGAGATGGTCACCACGTTGGGTGCCCCACCCAACGGCCCGAGTTCGATTCTCGGCAGTGTCTTAGCTTGCTGGTGGTCAACAAAAGGGGGAGCAGGGAGGGGAGGGCAACGTAGGCCAAAATAGAGGAAGGGGAGAGGCCAAAGGCTCCCTTGCCCTTAGAATCGCTGCGAGCGGGTAATGTTTTGCCCACTCCCGTTTTGAATTGGACACGATGGGAGGCAGCCGTGTGGCAAGCTACCCACCAAAATGTTATCAATACAACCAAGGCATGTTGGTGCCCCTTTCGCCGCTATGTGGGCACACGCCTTAGCCCACGCTTGGGCCATCAATTGCCGCCTCCGATGGTGGGAAGATTGCTAAGCAAGCCTTGCAAGAGGCGTCCACCGTTTCGGCAGCTCCTTGCCATGGCATGTGGTAGCTCAACAACAATTGGTTTTGATCGTTAGCAACGCCCGGCCGCTGCAAGCCTTTGCCGTGTTTTGTTGTCCATTCTTGTTGGAACGGAGTCCGTTCCACGACGGGAACGGACCCGTTCCAACCCTGTTCCTGGCCGGCCCAGATCCGGCCCAAATCCGTTCCTTGGGAATGGCCCAGGAATGGACTGGAACGGACTGGGACGGACTGGGACGGGAACGGGGACGGATCCGTTCCTGGGACGGGGACGGACACCGTTCCCGTTCCCGTTCCTACCAAATCTGGGCGGGCCCACCTCTGGGTGGGGAAGGGGTATGATTGGGAAATGAGGACCCACCAGTGTCAGCATATTGTATTTAACAACTGACAACAATTTCAGCACTGCCACACAATCTGGAGGAGATTTCTACGTTGTTGCATACTTGAGATGTGGTATTGAGGCCCACGTTGGTTCTGGACCCTCCCAGACTTGGCAGAAAGAGTCTCCAAGATTGTAACTTGCTGGTCACGCCCCTCTCAAGTGCCGTCTCTTCCAGGCAACCACCAGAGATTCGAAGCCACCACCGAAGATTGAATTGTGTCAGAGGCGATTCTGGGACAGATGTGCCAGCCACTAGGAAAAAAAGGGACAAATAACACGTGCTCAAAGGTGCACAAAGTTTACGGGTTTGTGTTGTTTTTGTGTTATTAGCGTGCAGAAATTTGATGAAATGTGTTTTACGTGTGTTTGCAAAAGTGTTATTTGGCCCTTTTTTTCCTAGTGAGCGACTGCTGTCCTCGCCAGTGGCGTGTTGGCAAGGATCCTACTCCTCATGTCCTTCTTTCAGTGCAGGTCAGTGCAAACTCTGTCCATTGAGGCAGACACCGAATGTTGTGCTGCAGCGATGGAATGCAGGCAAAGTTGGTCGACTTTGGGAGACTCTTTTCAGACAGTGGAAAGTTGTGCTGGTGCCTGCATGTGCAACAGAAGAAACGTGCATGGCAGTAGGCAGCAAACAGCGAAGCAAGGTGAACTCGTGGTGGCCATATCTCCGTAAAGAAGCCTTACAGGAGGATTCTGGTGGCACAATGGCACCCTGGCTTAGGTCTAAGTGGGAGCGGATCTTAGAAGGCCTGGAAGAGTGCTTTGTTGCCAATGGAGCCTTCCTGGAAGCAGGTGGTACATCAACAAAAGCAGCGGCGCCTGAGCACTTGAATGCGTTTTGAAAACGGGAAAATGGGGATGTTCTGCCTGAATGCATCACCCCAAGTACTGGCGCAGCATGGGTAAAGGGTAGTGATGTAGATGTTATTCAGCTGCCAAATCCCTCTTTAGTGTTGAACTAAACCCCACTTCAAGGGCAGCGTGCTGTTAGATGCGCTTTACAAATGAGACTCTCTGCTCATCTACGTGCTGCTTCTGGGTGGCAAATGAACTACGACAGCGCTACCTCGCCGGGCTCGATGAGAAGTCGCTATGCTGTGGCCGATCGGCACCCTCGATTATCGCAGTGTCTTACTTAATGCAGGACTACCCCGACGCGTATCCTTGAGCGATTCAGCTGCCGCTCATGCCGCCCCGTAGCCTCTTCGTGTCTCTGGTGGAGTGTGACCTTGGCTGGGGTCCGCATGAGTTGCCACTGGATTTTGAGGCTTTCGTTGCAGAAAACTAAATGTACTTGCGCTACTGAAATCAGCGAGAAATGTCTTTTTCGGGGGCCCGATTACCGCTGTTGCTTTGTGCGGAGCGCGACGGGATGGTTACGTCCAGTAAGCTAGTTTACGGGAGGCCCGAAGATGGGCGGGCGAAAAAATTGCTACCCGACAGTGCTCTGTCAGCAGGGCGCCCAGTTTGCGAGGGAACATGCTGCTGCTGGGGCCCCAAGGCAGGCAACGGTCCTTGGGGCCGGGTTTCGGCTCGTTCGGGAACTGTTTGGCGGCGCCGAGGCCTAAGGAGGCGACGCGCCATCAGTCTGCACTTTGTTTTCTCCCCGCCCGCCCTCTCCTTGGGTTTTGTTGGGATTGTTTTTTGACATTGTTGAAACTTCGCTCGCGATGAACATTTGGGACCGGAAAAGGCACTCTTTGGCTTGCGGGTGACATACCCGGGTTCTTGAACTGCATGGACAAGCTGTATTGGTGGGTTGGTGACGGATAGGTGTTTGTTGGAGTTGGATCAGGTGGACATTTTGTCACGGTTTGTGACGTTTTTCTGAATATGTAATTATAATTACATGTTCAGCCTGCCATTGGGCGGGAAGATCGCAGGGCTGTACCGTAAACCTATGTTCCGAAAATGCGATCGTCGAGATGCCGGCATCGCCGCTTCGCGATCGCCGCCCGTTTTGCCACACGACCATGCTGAGTCTCCACCATCCCCAGTCCCTAATTTCCGCTGGTATCGCCTTGCAGCCACCTCGCCTTTCTCTGCGCTCGCAAGTCCAGACCGCGCAACGCGGTCGCTGTCAGTTATTGCTCGACCCCGAGTCGCATCTCGCTCCGCGCAGTACTATCGCACGGCCTCATGGCCCCTCAACTGTCATTGTCCGCATCCCGTGGCCCGACACGATGCAATCTCCCGCCCCCATTCTGCCCCCCCCCCCCTTGACAATTCCCACGATGTTACCTGCCCGCCGTCCGCCTTCCCACCGAATTTCCCAGGGCAACAAATCGCGTCACGAGCTTCCTGTGCACCTCCTCGTCCGCAGCGCGGCGCCCATTGCGCGGTCCATCCCTCGCCCGCCACGCGCACGCGCTTGGGGCGTCCCCAGAACACCACCCGCCATTCAAATCGGGACATCCCGGCTGTGGCGATCGGCATGAAGGCCGGCGCGAAGGCCTTTGTGTTTGTTTTGGTGGCAGCGCTGGCGGTGGTGTCCGGTGCGAAACGTGGGTACTGAGAGAGAAAGGGGGGAGGGGGGGGGGGGGGGGGGGGGGCCGGGGTCTTAAGAAACCTTGAGGAACCTTGAGAAAGGACGCGGCGCTTTGGTGTTTGAATCGCCGGGCGTCCGAATCGCTTGGCGTTCTGGGGCAGGAAGCACACACCGTCTAGGCGCCGGAAGGGCAGGGTCTTCTTATATGCCGCTGGGGAACGCATTTCTGGAACTTGGCCCCGGGAAGGCGAAATTCAGAAGAAGGGGCAGGGGGGGTGGTTTGCTTGTCTTCTTGGTGCTCGCGCAGTTGCAACGGGGTGCCGCAGCGAGGGAAGGGCCATGCGCGCCTTTGGGGGAAAGCCCGCGTGTTGGATTTCCCCCACGGAAGGCAAAATTTTAGAAGAGGGGCAGGGCTGAATTGCTGGGCTGTCGTTTTGGGTGCTGTGGCTGTCGCAAGAGGGCGCCGCGGGCCGATAGTGGCCCAGGAGCGGCGTCGAAGGCGGTGGGCGACGGGAGAGGCGCATGGGTCGCGGATCGCGGTGGGCAATGGGTTCAGGGATGGGCATGGATCCATGGGGATGAGCCATGCTGCGGTGTGATGGGACGGGACGGGCGCCCTCGGATACCCGATGCGTCAGCGCGGGAGGGGGGCCGTCAGATTGGGCGACAGTCGGGAGGTTGTTGGCTGCCCGGCGCACAGCAAATATTGCCGAAGAGGCGATTCGCCAGCTCATGAAGAGCTGTGCGGCACAGTGCTGGACAACTTTAACCGGAGAACCCCAACTGCTGGAAAAGCAAGAATCTGGGCTGCAAGGGCAGTTGGGATTGGCGATAAAACTTTTGGATAATATATTGATTGTTCAGTGCGTGTTTGCGTATGACATGATAGTATGCATTCACCAACATATTTACATGTACAGAAAGGCATATGACACACCATGTGCATTCGCTTTGACGTAAGCATGGATGGTTATGGCAGCTGGACGGATTTGACATGGGTGCTTGATTGGCGCAGGCGAGAAGCGAAAATTGAATCAGGATGAACCAGGTGAGCAGACGGGCTACAAAGGACCTCGCATACATCGTATTGCGCGAATCCCCTTACCATTTGTTGGTAGTTTCAAGTGAATATTTCTCAGCCGTAAATGGCCACGCGGAGGATACAAGAGCGTCATGGAAGCTGTATGTCTGCATCTGCCCAACGGTTGCAGGGCATCCAACTGCAGCGAAATCGGGGATACGGGAGGTTGCACTGCCTCGTTCAGATCAGAGAAGCGGGTGCGGAAGTGGGACGCTTGTTGCATGTATGGATGTATCACTCGCATTGCCGAATCCAAATTCAGTCTGGCATGTCTCATCAAACAGAAATCTGTCGTTCGATTGCCACCCTGCCGTCCTTTTGGCAATCCCTCACGCGGCGGGGCCCTGCTGAGTTGGCGCTTTTCTCAAATGCGAAGAGTACATTGCAAGATTCTATAGTTGTGAAGGATCGTGAAGCGGCGACATTTTTTGTATTGACGAAGCGGTCGTCTGATGGAACAATTGCCTGGAGGATGTTCAAAAATGTCAGAATGTTCATTAGATGTCTGAAAAGATAGCAACTTCAAACCCGCTGTTGAGGGGTATTCGCGATTGGATGCAACTTTACGAGCGTGGATAGCACCCGACCTTTCATCTGCAGCATATTGCGGTTTGCGATTCATTCGATAGCACTACCTTAGTGTATTATATGAGATTGTCTGGGATGCTATTGAGCTTATTTTATGCTGTCCCACGACAAAGGCCTCAATCCGCTATTGAATACCGCTTTATTCTCAAAATCGCGGAACCGCGCAACGTAACATGTGAAAAGGGCAGCAAGTGGTGCCGTGAGAGTTGCATCGATGCAAACAGCATCAAATGGCTTCGCAAAAATGGCGTTTTCTCCTGGTGTCCAGCATACTTTTCAAAAGCAATCCCCAACTTTGGTCTTTGCGAGCTTGGTCCGCGCACAGAAATCACCGTCTTGTCAGTCGATTTTTGGTTCTCTGATGCGCAGAATTCTGCGTCGTGATCAACGAGGTGGTCAACAAGCCGGAGGACATCGGCGACACGAAGGGCGTCGATTTCCTGGAGCTGAAGAACGACTGCGAGCAGAGCATCGACATGACCGGCTGGGTCATCAGCGACGAGGACGGGAAGGAGTTCGTTATGGGTGCCGAGGGCTGTGAGGGGAAGCACGTGATCGACGCAAATGGCTACTTTGTATTCTTCAGAGAATCGGACTGTTCGTTTACTTTCGGATTCACGAAAAATGACAAGGTGAGGGAACAGAAGGGTTGGAGCGGGGGAGTGCGGTGCGGGGTTATGGGGCAAGACGGTCCCTGCGGCTGGCTGCTGGTGCAATAGGCCCAATCAACTCCTGGGCTTTAGCTTAACCAGGCCAGCGTCGCAGCTGCGCTGGTTTTTGATCCCAGACACCCTGGAAGCCCTGTTCCAAAGATTTCCTATTGCGCACAATGTCTTCCTGCGTTTGAGCCACACGAGGTATCTGACAATCGCCTGTTTTGCAGCACGCGCAAAAACAGAACCTGTGCATGCAAACGGCACAAGTACCTAAACGAGCTCTGTTTTGGTACCTTCGTCGATGCGGACGGGGTGGTTTGGCCTTGCGTCCGATTTTCTCATATCATTGGCCTCTGTACGGCGTGAGATGTCCTTTGACCGCAAACTCCGGATTTCCCGACATGGGCCCGGTTTCTGGAACATGATTCAGCTTGTTGACTACTTAGAACCGTGATGCGGAGCATGACAGCTTGTTGAATATAGAGATGGCACAAATTGCACGGCGCGCAACACATTGACAACTGACATATGTGTGATGTGTGAAGTACGTGTGACGTATGGGCCCCTGTATAGGCATGAATGCAACATAAGGACTGTCAGGCATAGGGCGGAAGATGAAATTGTGCACCGTGCTGAGTTCTCACAGCTGCAAGACAAACGATATATTCAACATGATCACTGCATGTGATCGCAGGCCACCCTGAAGGACGGAACGGGTCTCGTGATGGACGAGACGGAGTGGTCTGAGGGCGACGCCGACAAAGGTTTCTCGTGGTCCAGAATTCCCGACGGCAGCGGCCCGTTCCAAACCAGCCTCCCCACCGCGGGCGTGCAGAATGTGGCAGCGTGATGCGGGTGGCGGCACGCTATTTGGCTGGCGTGGTTGGATCTCTGGACAGTGCCTCTTATTTCCCTTCCCCATCCTGAAACATGTGCCAGCGCTTTGATGCAATGCAGACGGTAGCAAAGGCCTGCTGTCTCGGCAATACCTTTTCAGGGGTCGACTCGCGACTCTGCTTGTTCCCAAATTGACCTCAGAAAAAAGGAGCGACGAGGTGATGCATGACACATTCTTACTCTGCAATCGCTTCATTTCTGCTGTGTCGTACTGGCTTGTGGCGACCTGAGTTAGCTATTCTCAGTACGGTTTAGGACGGGCAAGCACTCTGGAAGGGATGTTGAACATGGGCAAGATCGGTTCACTGAGGGGAGTGAGTGCCTACAAATTGTGACTGCTTGTAATGTACATCGCAATCAACTGTTGGACGTGCGCGCGCAATGGCACCCACGCAGGGCAGTTTGCTGAGCTTTAGAGAACCCGTGTAAGTCCTTGTTGGTATTGAGCCAAAGTACTTGAAACAAGTTTGCTTACTTGTGGCAAAACCTGCACTAGAAGATCTAACACCTTCAAGATGTACCTCCTTGTAAACGTGCATCTGTCCTTAGTATTTTTTCGTTCGAATGAAGGTAATTCAATGTCCGTAGTGTCTAAGCTCCTGACGAAAAAAGTCCTTCAACACTTGTAGCGACAACACAACTACTCGACTGAACGTAGTGCGCACCAACGTGTTGTGAGTACTGGCAGCGGCTTCAACAACGGGTGTATCCAATGCCGACGCAGTTTACAGTAACAACTAATTCTGACAAGTGAGTCAAATAAACAGTCATTTGCCGCATGGTAGACTTCATTCAATATTCCTCCCCAATACAACCGCCCTCTGAGCGCCCATTGTTCAGTTGTTGACATTGACAGTTGTTGATATTATCTCACCTTCTTGCCCCTCACACCCCTCCAAACCTACCAAAAAATCATAGTCTTCGTCCTCGCACAATGTTTTGGTGCCACAATTGACGGATACATTTCCATTTCCCGTGGTTCGGTCCCGAGCCACCTACTTGTCGGGGAATGCGCAGCTTCCCATTCTGTCAGTACGTAGTGACAGAATACTGTAAGTGGTGACAGTATGCTGTCGGTGCTCGGGCACCGATATTGAGGGTGCACTGCGCCAGTCATGGCCAGGCAATTGCAAGGGGTTCTCTATGCCTGCCCAAGGCAAAATTTAAGCACAGAAACGGAGCCAGTCATCTGAACCACCTGCGCCTCGACCACGAGCTTTGTGTGACCCTCCATGGCCGCTGTGTTTGCCCTTGGCGATACGCTGGGCGCCAGGCTTGCCATGGACACATAGCTCAAGTGAGTATTTGTTGCGATCTAGACCGCAACAAATAGATCAACTGCGAGGATTGCAATAGATCCATTGCATGGCGTTGCGACTGTCCACGTCACCGTCTGCACCCGCATCCACTACCGCATACGCTTTCAGTCAATTGCTTGATTCGCTGCTGGGCGTAGCCAGGATGATGAAATGCAAACAGTGGTTGAATTGCGCGTGCATATGGTTGCGTGTGTGTGTGTGTGAGTGTGGGGACAGCGACAAGAGACGTGCTTGCTCTCCAGCTGCAACTCCCAGGAGTTGCCCGGTGCCCGCGCCCAACATCGCCTCTAAAGCGCAAGGGCTGTATTTTGTCATGTCTGACAAGTGCAATTCAAGGATTGGAACCAGGGGCCCGCGCCTTGTGCAGCCCCGGCATCGTGGAGTGTTTCTCAAAGCAATGTCAAATGCACACAGCTCCCTCCACGAGGACCCCCACAATGTCATGCCTGCCGGACCTCCATTGTCTGATGCACGCGCGGACGCGAAGTGGTTCAGCCGGCATTCATTATGATCGTGTTGAGGATAAACCACTTGCCCCACGCACCATGCTCGCATGTTGCATGGCGTATGTGGCGTACACTATGGACGCCACACGTGAGATCTCCTTGCGCAGGCACAAAGTCTCACAATGCGTGTCTGCGAGTCTGGGGCCATGTGACAGCGCCGCACTCCGGATGAAACTGATTCCAAAGCGCGGTTGCTACTGCTAGAATCGTTCCCGTGCTGTTGGAAACTTCCAACAGCACTTTAAAGGGCCCATATTGTGAATGGTAAATGTGTGTTTGCTGGCAGCCTGATTCATACGTGGTTCTCACCAGTGTGACGCAGTTCAAACATTACTCAAAGTCGTGCGGAACGGGTAAATCTCTGCCAGTGGCCCGTGCGCGACCCCATCTGGCCGGCTGAGCGTCCGTCCACGGTGTCGCGAACACTCGCTGAATAGACGCAACGACAACGGCCACCCGCTTGTCGCCCACGGCTGCTGGAGGCAACCACCGGTCCAAATGTGAGCAAAAGCACCTTTGCAAAAGCGTACGCCTAAAGGCGGTAGCGCCCCATCAAATGGCTCCAATCTCCACCTCCCAACACACCCCCTCCCCATTCGAAACTTCGAAAACGCCGCAAGCTCCCAGAATTCCCAACACTCCGAGAACTACGATATTCGAATATAAATCGAAACTGCGGAAACGAGCCGTAAAACCGAAAATACGGATGCCCGCAGCCGCCTCACTTCTGGCTCTCCCGCCTGCTGCGCAGCCTGTGCACCAGGCGCACCGGCACGCTGGGCACCGCCTCGTCCCAAGGTCCGTTGATCTTGGCCTTGAACTTGTGCAGGCGCACCAGTGCCAGGGGACAGACGAAGGACACCAGCAGCACAGTCAGGCAGTACAGCACGGTGAGCACCGGGGACAGGGGGGCCACCAGGAGCACGCTGCCGACAAGAGAGGCAACGGTCAGGAGCAGGTGGATGGTGGTGGACATCTGACGAATGTACCGCCGCACGAAGGGCCCCAGGAGGTACAGCTCCAGGGAGAAGAGAATCTGGACAAACTGCGAGACGAGCGCCCAGAGATGAGGAGCCCAGTTAGTCGCGATATAGTCCAATTTTGTCGCCAATTTACAGCCAATTCACAGCCAATTTTGCCAATTTAATTGGATGCTGCTCATTCTCTGGATTTAATGGTCACTAAAATGCAGAGTGTCAACAATCCGCTTTGCGATACAGTATCTGCATCAGGCTGAAAGGAGCGTTCTATCGTTCCTCAGCTTTTCAGACTGGCGCGAATTCGGCACAAACATGGAACATACTTGATGCCTGGCACATGACCCTCGATGGTGCTGCAGGTATGTGAAATCTGTTAAATAGCAGTGTCCACGCGCAAAGCACCATGCATTTTGCAGCACGCATTGCCGCTGACAAATCTTCCATGAGTGCCAAACTTAAGACTTCTGTGTCCTACGGGTGGGTTGCAGCAATGGCTACAAATCACTTTCATCGGCTGTCCCTCATATCAGGACATTTTGGTGCTGTTCATTACTTGTTCACATTCAATAAGTCTTGTTTTGACCTGGCTGCCTCTGCCATGGTCTAAAATCGATTGAATTTCCAAACGGCATCTTCTTGGACAACCACACTTTGCGACAGCTCTCACTGCCACATGCGCAACCCAGTTGGGGAATGGAACCTTTCCCACTGGCTGGAATTCATGTGTCAGCGACAGTGTGGCTCGTGAGGGACACGCTGAAAACTTGGAAAAAAAATCAGTTGCTGACCCATGTTGGTACTTGATGCAACACAAATGCATTATCTTCAGCTGTTTATCAATGTCAAAACAGGGATCCTAACTGCCTGAGCAGCATTTTCCTCCAAATGAACGTGACCACCGCGCAGCACATAGTTCTTGAACCTAGTTCTAGAAGCACAGTGCTGGCTTCCGTTCGGAAAGAGCATTGCCACAGACTCCCTTCGCGAGCGCGGAACAGCCCCTACCACGTGCTGATAAGATGGCAGCCTGCTTGCGATGAGGACGGACGCGAAGACCGCAGACCCCAGCGAAACGCTGCCGGTCAGCTTGTCTGTCACGCTGTTCACAAAACTGGCAGCAAAATAAAGACGAATTAGCCTGCAGTCTCAGTCTGGGGTGCATGGCACAGATCTTGAAAGCCGCGGCATTTTTGGTACTGCGGCCGCGTCCATAGCATGATGTGGACTGTTGGGCACGCTGGCATTGTGAGGTGCAGGCCGCAGTGCATTTTTCACGAGGCAATCTGTGTAATGGGCTTCAACCCGAGTTGCCAGAACAGCAGCTGCTGCCGACAGCTGTGTGCTCCCTCAAGTAAACGCTTTCTTGCTGCCCATGATCGTCGGAAAAATGTAGTACATCCCAGATATGAAAAGGATGTGGGGGGCTCCAATGTCCAGGATATCGAATATGTTATGGGCGCGCCATATCCTGAGATATGGCGAGGATTGTGTGTGAGGATATGGCCATATACCTTTATATGGGTGCTCATATCCTAAGTTTTGGGCGCCCACATCCTGAGATATGTAAAGGATATACGCGATGATATGGCCAGGCTTGGGTTTTACGCCGTAAAAACTGATCGTATTTACGTTTTTACGCGTAAAAATAGTTTTTACGTTTTTACGCGTAAAAATGCGTAAAAATACGTAAATACAACGTAAAAACTGTCTGGTGTACATAAGGACAGTACATATAGATTTACAGAGTCCGGAGAGTGGCAGCCAGACGCCTTGGAAGAGGCAGAAAACGAGTTTTTGTTAAACGCCATTATCGCCCTTGCCAAAGGCGAGGTGGACATTGTGCTCCGGGTGATGGAGATGGCGGATGACTGATCATTGTATGCAACTTTCATCGTGTAAACTACGTGTGCCAGGGAGCCGTAAAAACGTAAAAACAGCCGTAAAAATAGGCCCTTTTGCAAATTTACGTTTTTACGCGTAAAAACGTAAAAGTAAAAACGTAAACGTAAATAGAATTAACTATCCTGTTAATGAGTTTCTGCCTAGGACGACGATTGGGTGGGCGCGCAACGGCCGGGTCAGGCCGTTCCGCCCTTTGGGACAGTTTGGACCATCCATCAGCCGGTTTCTGTCACCCCTGTACTCGGGGTCAGTGCTGCCCGACGCACCCAAGGGCGGTGGAGTGGATCCTTGTACCTTGGGCGCAGCCAAGGGGACCGGTCAAGCTGGCCCTTGGGTTTGGCGGGGAGTTTGGCGGCAAGTGGGAGCGGCTATTTTAGGCGCAACCCGTGGCGCCCCCCTTATCTTGTTTCGCACCCGCCCGGCCCACCCTCATAGTGTGAGTTCGGTTTAGCTGTGGGATGGAGAGGGAGCTGAGTACGAGAGGAGGGGGACTGACTCTGGGATGAGTCACCATCAGTGTGGCATTAAGTACTATGCGAAGCGAGGGCACTTTCAAGTGGGTCGCCAATTGGGTTACTGTTGTTTAGTGAGGTGATGGACACCCAACTGTGTGTTGTAATGTATTGTCGTGTGGGGAACACGGGGGGGGTTGAAGGAGACCGGTAAGGCAGAAACGTAAAAACCAAGCCTGGATATGGCCATATTCTGGAAATGTATATCCAGGATACGCAACTCTTTTCTGACGTTCTTTTGGATTGCCAGCTATTCTGTTGCATTGTTGAATTGTGCCTAATCGGCCCCACACGGAAAAGAGTTGCAAAACTTCCTTGCGTATTAGGGGACGGCTATATTGTGGCACATGTCTCTTCAACCCAAGCCATATTCTTCATGAACAACAACTCAACAAATGTTGAGTTTCCGACAACGAAGTAAACTCAGGCATCAGCCCAGCTGTGAGGCAACGCAATAGCTGAAGGAGAAAGAATTGAAAGACAAGGTTGGCCCCCCAAGCCAGCAAGAACAGCTTTCGTGATCTCGACATCGCCAAATTTGTCGTGCAATATGACAGCTGCAATCCAAGGACTGCCATTTCTGTGATATCCAGGTCCCTATGATTCGGCTCATTTAATAAATGTGGCTTGAACAAAAGGCGATGCTCCGTCTGAGAATGCAACGATGTGTGGAGCCAACTCACATTCAATGATGATGATTGACATGCAATTCTTTCTAAACAAACAAGCAGCACTACCTCCTGGTGATCTGCTTCCAAGCGATTGGTCTCCTGGTGAATGAGTCACCTGTGACTCACTTGTAGTCATGCAGGTACAGGTGCACCAGCAGCAACAGGCAGCTCGATGAGATGATGGTGTCAGTGCTGATTGTCCACGTCAGCGTCCGCAGAAGGGGAGACATCAGATAGACACCTGGTAATAACCAAGGCAGGCATTCTTTCACAATCTTGCAGGCCATTCAAACCAGTATCTTCCTCTAAGAGTGAAAGGCGTACGGCTTTGCTTGAGAGTAGAAGAAATTTTCATGTAAGTCGCACCTGGGGATGGGGCACTCTGTGTGACGTTCCCCTTTTGTTTCTTGTGTTTGAATGCTGATGCTCACAGTTCTGTTGATTATCTAGTGGTAGTCTCCATGATGCGCATCAGCAGGTCGGGTCTGGTTCCTGGAGAAGACTTGTGGAAGTGAACCACAACCCCAGCCATTTTGCTGAAATTTCCAGTCTTTCCAACAGCTCAGTTTCGGGCTTAGAGCAAAACAACGGGTCAAAAGATGGGGGAAGCAAGCCAAGGCGCCGGGCAAAATGGAGGCCAAATTTCAGCCACACCCTGCCAAACGCATCCCTTTAAATGGCCTTCAGCTTCTTGAGCGAACTGGGGCATCATCCACAGAACTGTGGACACAACACCAGAGAGGCAAAGGCGACGACTGGTAAGATGCTTCCCACTGGGCACACTACAGATTGAACTAAACATCTGACTCACCAGCTGTCAGCAAGAAACATTGCCGGAAGCCACGTGCCTGACACAGAACGCCAAAGAGTGATTCAGTTATTGTTGGCTGCTGTTTTGTTGTTCAGGTATTGCTACTAAGTCGAATTCAGTGTGAGGACCAATTCTCAGCCGAGAGGATCCAGCTGGCCTACAATTACACATTCATGGCTGCGCTGTGTCTTCCAACAACATTCAAAGCAACTGCTATAAAATCACCACGAGTACAGCATATCCACAAGATACAAATGATGCGGACAACCTGGGGCTTTTGAATTAAGATGGCGCCTGGTATTGTTCTAAAGTTGGGTCGCATAAGGATGCTTCGGGGTCCTTCTCACCAATAGGGTACAAGACTTGACATGTAGACGAAAAAGGACAAAAACCACTTTGAAGCCGAACAACACAATGATCAGCACTTCACATGAGCCCCCAGCATCCAGTTTTCAAGCAATATCCATGTTTTGAGAATCAGCCAGTCCCACCAATAATGAGGGTCAGCAAATCAACCTGCCCAATTGTGCAAGTCGAACCTCAGTGTTGGATCTGAGCATCCACCTCTATGATCCGTCTGTTTTGCCAAAATATCCTGATGTCCGATATGCACAGAACCTTTGTAGCCATAAACACACCCAAACCCCTATCAGCACCCATAGGCCAGCTATTCACTGTGTATATCGAACACCCATCTGAGTCCTATATCACTCTGATGTCCTGGTACACAGCTGGTGTCGCTCGCATCAATTTGTAGGACTGTGGTTGGATGGGGAATCTACCAACTTGTGAAAAAAGCCACACCACTTAAGAATGGGACTTAGCATGGGACAAAGACACAGGACTGTGTAGCAGTTCCCCAAATAATAAGACTGACAGCACCCACCACTGTCCCACCAAGAATATGGCCCCCAACGGTGCAGCACAGCAAGGAACCTGTTGAAAGACAGAACATGGGCTAAGGCAATGCTCACTGTGCAGCTCCCCAGGAGCCAGGTTGTGCTCCAACAACTGGCAACGCTAGGCAGTGCTATCCAGTCCATCAATATGCGTATCAAGCAGCGATTCTGGCAATACCATCACCAGTGGTAGAGCAGGCAGTCATCTGGACTTCCACAAAGAATCTGGCACGACTGCACCTAAAGTTTAGCATTTTAGAAGCAAATCTCGCAAAGGTCTCCAATTTGGCTGTATCGTGTAGGAACATCTACGTCGTCAAGACAGGCACCATTCCAGACAGAACTTGCCTGCTTTACAGATGCAATGTTTTGCACTCAGTACACAGTTTTCCATACAATGTCAGGATGTAGATGGCATGATTGACTGGGATTCGATTCTGTGTTCTTCAATTGCATGGGTCGTATATTTCAATTCCCGTCCTACACTTCAAATGCATGAAAGAGTCTTCCTAGACTGGTGATATGGTAACAAGGTCCATATCCATATCCACGGTGTGCACAACCATGCCTGGAAAGCCAAGACATATGCATCGGTCATGCTCCTATAGACACCAACCCCAAAATCCACAAAACGAATTACATCACAAGCAGCCCAAGGCACTATCATCCAAGCTTCAACTGGGCGCCATTGTCACTCTTGATATCAATGGCCTGCTGGCCATTGCTGCAAAATATGCACTGTGCACACTTAGAGCTGTGGACAGCATCCAATGCTCCCCAATAGCTGCAAGGCCATCGCCTTGCCATATCGCAATACATGAAATCGCAGTAGACTGTGAAACAAATGGCTCACATCTGCTCAACAAATGGTGGAACATCGTACGAGCTAACAGCTGGAAACAGCTGCAACGACTGCATTGTGCCGCAACAAGTTTGCTGCCGCAGCATCGCTTGCGGCCGCGCAAGCCGCACACCTGCAAGGAGGACAGCTGCGCAAACTGCCATCATCGTCTCAACGCCGACTGTCCTCCTGTAGAGGTGCACAGACATGGCCACCACTAGGGCAGTTGTATTCAGCTGCTGAACAACCGCAGCAGAGTCCCTCACCACTGTCCAGTAGTCCCTCTGTTTGACATGGGCATTGAGAACCTGTGACCACAAAAGCAGTCTGGTTTTAAGGAGGCAACGCTGGCCCCATGGCTAACTGCCACCATGGGGTTGGCCATGATGCCGCCAAGCGTTGGACATCCAAACGCAGGGATTCAAAACACAGGGGCAACAACTTTTGGAGCTTTCTTACGTTTTTGAGAGCAAAGTAGTGGAAAGGGTGCAAGATCAACAAAGTGCCAGTATAGAGAAAATGCTCAGCAAGAGTAAAGGGTATGTTGTGCGTGCAAGGAATCACTAAACTGAATAATCCATCAACATTAGCTGAAGTAGAGGAAGCAGATCCACAAGGCAATGCTGTGCAGGAAGTGTGCATGGTCATCTAACTACATTTTGTCCAAATTGTACGACAACAATAAGGTGATTAGAAGATTCTTTTCGCGCCAGTCAGATGTGCATTTTCTTCCACAGGCTTCTGGGGACTGACAAACCTCATGCAACATGACAACATGACAGCTGCAGCAACCAAAATAACAACTGCACATAGAGATTGCGCATGCATGTGCCACATCAAATCCCGTGGTGCATGTCTTTATGTTCATGGGAGCCTGTTTCAGTATCATGTTTGTGATGTGTGCTGGCAACCTGCAGGCAATGGACATCAATACTCATGCACTTGATGCACTCAACACAGCTGTCAGCACTGTTTTGTCTGTGGCCTGGTCATCCCCACGAGGTGCTGGTTCTTTTGCTGGGGTGAGACTACCATGCCCTGAATCGCCTTGAAGTCCGATTCTACTTAGATCACTTGCATCTTTCCACGGACAAATGCCCTTGAACCTTCCACCTCACGTCAGTCAGCCACGGAGCTGTAGGGAGAGCAATTTGAGCAGAATGACACTGGACATAAAACTGAACACACATTGGCAATCGCGTTGCCACTTGCTGTGCATGAGGATACTTTTTGTCATTCCTCATAAGGGCATGTGCTGTCAGTTACGCCAACCAGTCCAAGAACCAAGGCAGGGTCGACATGTCACCCGATACAAGCCACCAGGGCACCCACAAAAGCTGCCATTTTCCCTTCATCCTCTCTCGTCGGCTGGGGATTAGGTGGCAACATCAACACAGGTAACGAATGTGTAAGTTTCGCGACGTCTGCCGAGACATGGACATGATTGGTTTCAACTGGTTCGCACAGAACAGCAACATGACAAGCAATTGCCAAATCGCATCGTAATGAAAACAAAAGGAAATATGCGCAAATCTGGCAGAAGGCTACAAAATGGGCGATCAAGACCATGGAAGGGCAGCATTCAGTTGCTCACTCTGCTTAGTAGTTTGTGCGCACTAAACCCCAATACCAAACTGTTGAAAAGAAAGGGATTGCAGAAGGATACAGAAAGCATGAAAACACAGGGAGCAACATACATTCGGAATGGCCTCCCCTGGCACGCATTGTGTACTGTTCTGTTGTGCTTTGGGGCACTTCAGAATCACCA